ACGCTCTTCGCATAATCTCCTGCCTCCTTTGACACCCTCTCGAGATCGATATCATATCCCCGATTGGTCATGTAATCTTTCACGTAATCTCTACACTCCTCTGGAATTGTTCTCCATGGACCGAGATTGTTAGCTTCCACGGAAAATCTCCAACTGGTACACTGTAATCTGAGCTCCTCCTTCAATTCTTGGAGTTGGGTTTCTACGTTATCTGTGTATTCGACGATCAATGGCCCGGTTTGGAGGTGTGAGTCAAAATGTTTTTGAGAAAAAGCGAGAGAAAATAGCGAAAAGAGCAGGAAAAGTCTCGAGAAAGTCATGGGATTGGATGATAGTGAATTGAATAAGTTTTTCTCGTGTGTGTGTCAAACTGTCAATTAATGGGAATTTAAGGCAGGGAATCTGGGGAGGAAAATGAAAATCTGAGGAAAAGAAAAAAGTGGGGTTGGGCTTTTACGCATTGAAGATGAGAATCGAGGTTGGTGTAGATAAGGAATTAGTATGGAAGGGTGTGGGATAAAGTAAAGGCAATCTTTTTGGCAGAGAAAGCTTTTGTTTTGGTTTATACGAGTTTTTTTTTTTGAAGAAGAAGAAGAAGAAGAGGAAGTTGGCGTGGGAGCGAAGAAAACAGAAAGAAAGAAAGAAGAGGGTACGGAAAACAACCAGATTCCAAGGTGGTTGTTTGTAAAGTGGTTCTATTTTAGTTGGAAGAGAAATGAACCTTTTATGGGTATATGCTGGAGCTACGGGAAGAAAACGCAAGCAAATTGAAGTAATTGGAGGAAGGCAAATCATGTAAGCAAAATATAATAATATTTTTAAAAAATAAAAAAATAAGATAAAAGGCGCTTACTACAATAATGGCCTCAAGAATCAAGATTTGACGTGTTGGCTGGTTGGGCGGTGGCACTGCCTGATGTGGCATGACAATGACGATATTTAGGGTCCATTGTTGTGCTACTAAAAAATTTTATTGTTACTATGATGCTAATAATAAGTTATTGTGATTAAAAATATATAAGTGTAAATTGTATATAAAATTATTGTAAAGACACATAATGATAAAAATAAACATATTTTAATATATATTTATAGTTAGTTTTATTTTTATTTGTTATGGTCAACATTTAAAATATAAAAATATAATTTTAATTTATTAATTATAATATTTCTTAAAAATAAATTATTTATATTGATAAGGAAAAAATATTCATCTACTAAATTTTTTTCTTTATTGTTGTTATTTTAAACATTTTGATAATCACACAATATTTGAATAAAATTTAAGATTGTATGCTTGTTAAAGATTTTCAATTGTAAATAATTATTTTAAAAATATATATTTTTAATTTGATACGGTAAAAGTAAAATAAGTAGATTGAGGTGGGAACTGCTATTGAAAGGGACCACAATAGGGGCGGCTTCTTCGTTTATTTGGGAGGAGATAACTTTTTAGAACTTTTAGAAGCAGAATAATCATCCTTTTGAATAACACCAAAGTAGATGCAAACGAACCCCAGATTCGCCCCATATACTCAACGCCAACGCCTAAACATGCGTTATTCTGAATCCTGGTTCAGAATCAGTATTTAGTTACAGTAATTTTGAATCACGATTCATGATTCAGAATCAGTGTTTAGTTTTGATGATTTTAAATCATAATTTACAATCTGATGTGATGTTTTAAACTAACTCAAATCATGATTCTAAAACCACTCTCCTCTTAATTTAAGGTAATTCAAACCTCTGATTTTGAATCATAATTTCAGAATCATGATTTGAATCTAAAATCATAAATCATGATTTTAGTTCTAGAATCATGATTAAAATCACTTTAATTTAAATTCTCGTACCAAACGAATCCTAAAAGATTGTCTCTTATTTCAGAGCCTGAACTTTTCGCACGCGCTCTTCTTCGACAATCGACTTCAAACGACCATGACATTGCCCCTTCTTATTTTCCTTCCCTCTTACAAAACATAGTCCAGTGATGTGATCAAGCCACAAAAAGTCAATTTGAATGATTCTTTTGACGAAGAAATCACATAAAACCCCGAATTGAATTCTTTGCTCATTGAGTTCAGGCTTTGAATCATATAAAAGATAGCTGTCATTTCATTTGAAGAGAAAATGAAATGCTTTCCTCTAGTAGCGGAAAAAAAAAATAAAAAATAAACTCTACTGCTTGATATTCTATTTTGCTATTTCGTTACTGCTCTTATTTACTGTTTGTTCACCTAAATGTGTCTAGAGCTGTACTAGGCTGGGCCAAACTAGCCGGCCCGGGTTAAGGTTTTAAGCTCAAAAAATTATTCTATGTCGGCTCAGTCTAAACGCTCTCTTTTCAAAGTTTTTTTTTTTTTTTAAATACCTTATAAAATTTTGAGTTGATCATATACCTTTCTAACTTAGTATTGGGTTGGACCGTCTTTCGCCCACGAGAGCCAGTCAGGCCCGCCCAAAATTTCCATCCGAATCCGGGTCCGACACCATTAATGGGATGTTTATTTTAAGAGTTTATCTCTGGTTTTGAATCATAATTTTTAATTCTCTACAGTATTTTTTTCTCACATTTATAGTTCTAAATTCATGAACTAAATGTCTCGTAAATGTGTGTTGGGTTACTGTTTGGTTAGCTGTTGTCTGCCCCCAACTGTTGCTTCTTGTCCTTACTCATTTAGTCTGTAAACTTGTCGTTTTGAAACTCAGTCATACCCCTCTTATGCTGTATTTCTTTTCAAACTCAGTAATGGATTTGGCTCGTTCTTAATTTCTTGCCTTCTTGCTGCGTCACTTCCCTAGTTTCTTAACCCTCTTTTTGGTTTTTGCGTGGCATTCTGATTGGTGCATTCATAGCCAAGAAAATGAAACAAAAATAAATAAATCCGTAGGACCGAGAATCAACTTCTATACCACATAGCTCATTAATTTAGTTAACCTGGCTCAAATTAAAAAAATATTTTTCAAATATTTGTTTAAAATTGAAAATTTTTAATAAAATACTAAGCTAAATTTACTCAAATATGTTTGATGATTATCAAAATTCTTAAAATAAACCACAATAAACAAAGTAATTTAGAATTTTATTTTTTAGATATCTTTAAATAATAAATTAAAATTATATATATTTTGGTGTTTTGGTGAAAAATATTATGAACACCAGCCTTAAAAATATAAATGAAACTAACTAAACGTATGTGTGTTAAAGTATGTTTATTTTAGTTATTATATATTTTCACAATAAATTTATACATAGTTTATCAAACGCCTAAATTTTTACTTATATAGTATTCATGGCAACTTTGAGGAAGAAAAAAGTATGGGTAATCTTGATAAATACTCCTTGAAAGTGTATGAGTCAGGATTTTTACTCTTTTACTCTTTATTCATAACCTTTTTAGTTAAATAATTACGCTAATAAAATGATGTTTATTAATAGTAAAAGGTAAATATTTAGACTCATGCACTATTAACGGTAAATTTTTCATTTAAATACTTGCATGGTTCTGGTCACTTTAAACAATAAAGGTTTTTAACCGCACGGTAATGCTGGCTCTCACTCTTTTGATGAAGAAATCACACCAATCCGTATTGAATTCTTTGTTCAGACCCAAATTGAGTTTAGGCTTTGAATCACATAAACAGAGCTATTATTGTGTTTCAAAAGCAAATGACTTTAAGCCCGCTGATTACTTGTGTTATCACTGTCATGTTTAACAGTTATAGTTTTTTACTTTTTGTTTCCCTAAAATTGTCATTGGACTACTGTTTCCCAAACTGCTGCTCGTTGTATTTTAGTCATTTTTAGTCTACAAACCTTGTCGATTTGAGCCCCCATCCATCCATTAGGCATCGAAGCCCCCCCTCTTCTGTATGCCTTTTTGTTTTTGTGTGGCATTCTGAGTGGTGCATTCATTAATTTAGTTTAGCTGGCTAGGTTCTTACACGAAGCATTAGTTCTTTTCTATCCACGGCCATCTCCGGATACATGACCCCCCAAAAAACAAAACAAAACAAAAAAAAAAAAAACCGATGAACGACATCAAACAAAATTAAGCGAGAGTCTTAAGGTATTGGTGAGCATCAAAGTGCGTTTTGAAGTCCTTCCAATTCCATCTGTGTATCGCAAATCTTTTCTAAAGTATTGAAGTTGTACCGTATGATTGCACCACGTATTTCCATCACTACGTAGGACTCCTTGTCGCTCACACCTCGGACGATGCAGAGTGCAGACAAATAGTATCCCTCCTCCTGCAGCGTCATCGGAAACGCGTGGTGAATTGTTGAAAAATTCACGCGGAACTTGACGAACCAGCCAGAACAATCCATTTCCATCTCGTACACGTCGAAACGAGGAGTTCCTGAATTGATTCTGTAGTGAGCAAGATGCAAATGGCCACGAGACTCACCAAAATACCTGTACTTATAGTCATCATCAATCGGCGGTATCGGCATCGGCATTGTTATTAGTCGCTCGTCGCGAACATCAAAATACAAGGATTCTTGCGAATAACTAGGCCAATGGACACGGCCATTCAACAACACTCCGTCATTGAAGATTAGATAACTGAGTAGTCTACGTAAACAGGGTCGCCGGAGAGCCACCAACGGCGAGTCTCCGATGAGTAAATCTGGATCTGATAATGGTCCCTATGCGAGTCGCTGTTCCTAACGCAAACGACCTTGTAGTGAGAGGACTCCCAAGGGTCAAAGGCCAAACTGAGGCTGAAACTATTCATGATCCTGATACAGCCACTCCAATCCCTCCAATGCCAGGAAATCCTAGGGAGAGGGGTGTACTTCTTTGTGATGGGATTGCAGACGAAATTGCCGAATGCTTTAGGGTGTAAATGTCTTGAACACAAGAACAATCCATTGCAGGACTGCACGATTCTGAAACCGGATTCGCCGAAATCGCCAGATTTAATGGGAGGTTGAGAGGAATAGGAGCTTTTGTCGAGATTCACGTAGTCGAATTCCCCATTAATGGTGCAAAAAGAATACATGAATTTGGAGTTATTCAAGAAGAGGCCGGAGATAGGGTTAAGGATGCGGTTGTGGCAGCGGTGAAATTTGGGTTCGGAAATGAGAGAGAGCCAGTGTTTGGATACGGATTTGAACCTGATCAGAGACTTCAATGGCAGCCGCATAAGGATTTCTATTACCAAGTCATCGCTGTCGGCTATTGTTCCCGCCGATCGTGGTAAGTTGGTCCAATCTCAATACTAGACCTGGCTCATTAGGTCGATCCCAACTGTGGTCTCCATCTGACCTAAATATTGATCCCAATTGATTACCTAACCCCAACATTGTTCCTGGCATGTCGCCCTGACCATGACGCCGTCTCAACCCCTTGATCCAACACTGACACTGATCCCAACACGTTGCCTACAATTTTGAAAACATGAAATTTTTATTTCCACAATTTTCTTTTTAAAAAAAAGACCAACGGTTAGAAATATAAATAAAAACAAGGCCACTACCCCATTTGGTTCATGGATTAAAACCATGAGATTAGAATCATTTTTGATTTACGTGTATTTTTTGTGAGAGAAAATACTGTAGCGAATCATGAACCAGGATTCGAATCCTCCAACCAAACAGGAAATAAAAAACATATTTAAAAAAAATTAAAACAAAACATACCAAACAGACCCCAAATGATGAGGTTTTTTTTTTTTTTTTTTTTTGGAAAAATGATGAAGGATTCTTAACTCTTAAGGCGCCACTCTTATTAAGTAATCAAATAACTCTATATTATATACTGATTAAAACCATCAATGGAACGCAGTTAAGGCTTTAGCCCTTAAATGAGAGAAGAGAGCTTGTTTTTCCTATTTGAGAAATGTTGTTTCTACTATTAGCAAAGAGACGTATTTCACTATTGACATTCCCTGTCTGTAAACACTACCTTAATAGCATGTTTACTTACCAGGAGTGAGAAATGTGAATTGAGAATCAGAGTCAACTCCATCTTTACTTCTTAAAATGAGAGTAGGAATGTGTGAGTCCCACACTAATTTAGGGTTGAAGAATGTGATTGGCACTCCCTCATCTCCTACCGGATTGGCACTCCCAATCCTGATAATAAATATGAATTACGATTTAACTCTTAATTCTACTAACAAATTTGTGAATAAAAAGTAAAAAGCAAAAAATTGAAAAAATCTCTCTATGTTTGATTGTAGTTTGTATTTTTAATTTTCCTCTTTGCTTCCATAATAACTGTTGTACACTATGCTCTGTTTTAATTTATTTTATTTTATTTTTTTCCTTTTGTTGAATCACAATACCTTGTTGCAAAAATGCAGGTTTGTACCTCTTTTTTTATTTCTCTTTTATGAGAAAGTCTACTCATGTTGCTTGTAGAGTGACAATTAAGTAAAAGAGTCTTTTCAAAAAAAAAAAAATAACTAGTTAACTATTTAGATTTACAAAGGAGAGAGTGAAATCGAATAGAGGAAGGAGAAGAAAATACCAGAAAGAGAAAATTAGAAATATTAGTTAGAGCAGAGAGAGGGAGTTTTTTTTTTTCTTTGGTGAAAGAAAGAAACAGAATTGATTAAAGACAGAGGGTTAGTTTTATTTCTTGATAAGGAAAAATCAATTAATTATCGGAGTTTTTTTGGTTAAAAAATTAATTGGGTCAACCATTTACATTAGAGGAGATTGAATCAAATAAGAAGGAGAGAAAATAGCAGAAATAAAATGCACAATATATATAGATATTATTTCAAAATTTCATGATTAATACCTTTTTAACCATTTATATATTTTATTTTAACCATTAATACCTTTTCTTTTATTTCAATATATATATATATATATATATATATACATCATTAACCATTTGTTCTTATTTTATTTCATCATTATTTTTTTTTCTTTAAATTATTCCAAATTTTATTGAGAAAAGATAATTTAGATAATTAATGTGTGATTAAAAAAATTTAATTACTAATTAGTTATTTTAATTTTAAGATAGTTAGCATAATATACAATTTTTTTTTAAATTTCAACACACAAAAATTTACTAAAAGGATAGGTAAGTAAATTTGTAACAGTTTATTCCGATTATGGATATAAGTAAATGCATGAATGGTATTGTGATTGATTCCGACTCTGATTTCTAGAACCTAAGTAAACAACTTATTTTGACTCCGATTCCTGACTCCAATTCCTATTTACTTTGAATTTTGTCCATTCCAATTTATGTTCATTCTGATTATGAATTAGTAAACATGTCATAAGAGTGGAGACCGATTTAATTAGTCCTCCGCTTTTATGGGTCTAAATTGAAAAAAAGTAAATAAATAAATAAACGACATTCCTTTTTCGATTCTTGGGCAACAAAACAAGGTTGGTGGTCGTACGTGTACTAGGTAGAACATAATACAGTTTTTATTACAAACCCAAGTGACAAAATGAAAAACGAAACAGACCAATGTCTTCAAACCCAAAACGACATCAGACGCAAGCAAGGCTCTCGATGTATTGGCAAGTCTCATACGGTTTTTGTATCATATCCGGCCAATTCTCCATTCTAAAATTATTGTTATGAGCGAGACCAGCAGGCTCAACATCACAAAGCACGTAGAAAGTTCCATTCCAGAAGTTGTACTGCAAATCTTTGCCGGGAATGTTCAACACCAAATATGAGTCCTCGTCGTGCTCACTAAGAACAACACAAAGCACAGAAAATGAACATTCTTTCAAAATCAGACGAGTACTGTACCTCGGAGGGATTATCACAGGAAACGCGGCCGAAACATCCGAAAGATCAACACGGTACTTAATAAACCATCCGAAATTGTCCCTTTTCATCTCATAAACATTGAAAGGATCAGTTTCTCCCGACTCATTTTTGCAATAAATAACATGCAAACGATCGCCAGACTCTCCAAAATACCTGAACTCCCAAAAACTACGGCTATAATTTTCGCGCTGATTATCCAGAAGAATTGGCATCGGCATTTCCCTGCTGCTGTTCATCAACTTTGAAATACAATGAATCATCCGAAATATTAACCCAGTGAACAGCCCCATTCCAGAAAACCCCACTATCAGAGGCAAGATTAAAGAAAGCAGAGAAAGAGCCTATACCAGAGCGCCTCCAACACCGAGTCTCCGACGAATAAATCTCGATCTGATGCTGAGTATGTTGGATTTCTGTTGGATTTCTTTTCCTTAAGTTTCGGTAACCAACCGAAACAATCCTCTCAAAATGTGGTCCATTATATTTCCCACTTAAGGAACGTGATTGGTCACGTTCATCTCACGTTTATCTGCAGTTGTCCACTGTTGTCCACGTTCGGTGCACGTCCGTGAAAAACTCTGTGATGGGCAGAGTCTATAAAAGAGGATAGAGCACATTAGTTTTGGGTCCCTAAGCCTGCTATCTCCATTCAGTCAGTATATACACCATCAAACGAGAGATTGAAGAGGTTTAGAAGAACCAAAACCCGAGTTTCTGTTTTTTCACCGAGAGCTTCAGTTCTCCACCTTAACGACAGAAAAAAGGATGTTCATTTCAATTCCGCATTGATCTAATTGCCATTTAGGATCCTTATGAGCACGTTTAGATCATTTAGAAATTCTAACATTTGGTATCAGAGCCTTAGTTTGCCTCTGCCTTGTATCCTCTCGTTCTGCTCACGTGAAATGCCGTGAGAGAAAATTTTTTGGCAACTATTGATTTTGACGTTTTTGATGGAAACTAAGATTAGGAATCATTGGGTAATCGAATTCCTATCATTTCTAAGTTTTAAACATCAATTTTGGTCGTCAAAATCAAGAGAAAAAGTCGGGTTTTGTTCGGGTTGAAACTGGGTCGAAATGACCCGGCTGGAGGTTGAAGAAGGATCAACAATTTAAAAAAATGACATGTCGTTTTGCCCTTTGGGTATATAAAACGACATGTCGTTTCTGTTGAATAATGAGTGCAGGCCATTTCAAAACGACATGTCGTTTTCATTTGGAAAGGAAAACGACATGTCGTTTCCGGTTAATGCTAATCAGCCTCATCAGGAACAAAACGACTTGTCGTTTTTTGATGAAGCAAAAAAAAAAATCATAAATTCAGTATATATATGGGTATTTAGTAGATGTTCACCCATTTTATAATTTTTTATGGATTTTTCATAAGTAAAACATATAAATGAAAGGTTCATTAATTTTTATGTGTTTAATGGATTAATTCAAATATTTTGGGTTAATATTGCATATAGTTTCAAGCAATTAAATATGAACCTTTATGATTTATTAATGTTAAGTAATCCATATAATTTTAATTAATTAGGGAGTAGCCACAGCATCTTTAATTACTCAAAATTATATATATTAAGTGATTCTGGATTACATTATCACATTAATTGTGATTAATCATATGTAATATAATAAATTTTATCCCACAGGAATTTTTATTATATTTGTATGATTAATTAGGATAGAATATCAAATTAAATTTCTTAATTTACCCACAGGAATTAGGAAATAAAGCGTAATTTGATAGTTTTATCATAAGGTCACAGATGGATCTAATTGAGTTAAAACTTTAGCCCACAGGCAAGTTTTATGTCACTAGATTCATAGAACATGATTTACATTGGTAAAACATGATATAAGTTTATGAGTCTCAAAATTTTAATTATAAGCATGTGTTTAA